GCTATGTAGCTCACATTGGCCTCGAACTCATGATCTTCCTGTCTCAGCCTCTTGAGTGCTGGAGTATAGGCATGTGCCACCATGCCCAGGTACAAATACATTTTTGAAGCTTTCTTAACTAGAGCGATTGAGACAAAAGTTTGCTGCTTAAATCTTCAATAGTAAGAAAAACTCATTAACCAGGCCTCATGTTCCCTAGTCCCCAGGCTTTTAAGTTAATTTAGGTTTATTGGATGCTGAGTAAAAGATACAGAAGAAATAAGGATTTTAATATTCACCAGTGACCTTCACCAAATCCAAATCAATGACAGTTTTTCTTGGCTTTCCCTTTGGCTATTGGGAATAAAAAACTACTCTATTGGGCCATGCATACCTGTAATCCCAGCACTTGGGAGGCTGAGGCAGGAGGATTGACATGAGTTTGAGGCAAGCCTGAACTACATAATGAGACGTTGTCTCAAAAGGAAAAAAGAAAAAGAAAACTACTGTATTGAGCCATCTCTTAGTTTTCTCATCATTTTCTCTTGGGAGAATCATCTTTATCTTCCCATTTCTTACTTGTGGACATTTCCTATATTTAGTCTCTAGCTCTTCTTTCCGTACTATCTCTCACATCCAGCTTTATACCTCTCACTCCTAACTTTATATCAATTCTGAATTCACTCTGAGCCTACATTTCCGTATTTCTAACTACTTATTGGAGTTATTCTCTTGGCTATCTCACCATAAAATCAAAATAATCTTATTTTCCTTAATATATAATATGTGTTTGCAAATCCAAGAAAAAGATAAACACCCACTTTTTTAAATAGACAAAGACATGACTAGACGATTCATGTGTACACATAAAATACACATATATGGCTGAACAATGAAAAAATGTTCACCCTCACTGATAAAATGCAGATTAAGCCAGTGTTTATGGGGATACAGGCACTCTCACATACTAGTGACCGAAGCATGAATTTGCACTACTCTTTGTTTTTTTTGTTTTTGTTTTTGTTTTTTTCTTCGGTACCGGGAACCGAACTCACGACCTTGCGCTTGCCAGGCAGGCGCTTTGCCGCTGAGCTAAATCCCCAGCCCCTTGCACTACTCTTTGTTAAATGTGTCAGTATATGCCAAAGTCTTTAATATGTATCTGTCCTCTGATCCAGTAGGCTTCAATACTCAGAAATAAAGATATATGCAAAGAAATATGTAAGAGATATATGTAGGAAGATTCATTGTTTATTATGTTGGTAACTTGGAGACACATTGAATGTCCAGCAGTATAAGATGGGTTAAGAAAATAGGGCAGATTTGTGCAGTGGAATGATATACAGCCATTAAAAATGGTGTTTTATGGGCCCAGCTTAGGCAACTTAGCAAGTTAGTGAGATCCTGTCTCAAAGATTAAAATTTTGAAAAGGATTGGGGATGTAGATCAATGCATAGGCCTGCGTTTAATCCCCAGTACCCACCCTGCAAAAAGTGAGTTTTAGAAGTATGCTTTATTACTCAGGAAAACATCTAAACTATATTATGAGGTTATTAAGTCAGGTTATAAAGAAGAATATACAGGAATAATGCTATTTTGTTAAAAGAAGTTACAGACTCAGCTGGGCATGGTGACATGCACCTGTAACCCCAGTGTTCTAAGAGGCTGAGGCAGGAAGACTGCAGGTTTGCGTCCCATCTGGGCAATTTAGTGACTGAGTGAGGCCTTTTCTTAAAGAAAATAAAAGGGCTGGGGATGCAGCTCAGTTCAAAGGCCCTGGGTTTAATACCCAGTACAAAAAAGAAAAGAAAAGGTACAGACAGGAGGGAAGTATGTATAGATATTAAGTGATTATCTCTGGAGAATGATATAATGAGTGATTTTTATTTTCTTCTTTATAATTTCTATATGTTATAAAATTCCTGCAATGAACATTGATTACTTTTATAAAACATAAAACCTGGTAAGCATAATGTTTTTAGTAATGAGTCATTTGAAAACAGGCTCCTCTGACATCCCTACTAACTAAGCTCTTTCCTGGCCTCTTTCCATCTATGGTGCTATCAACCCAGGCCCTGGTTTAGACCTTGTAGTCGTCTTTGATTGCTCTCTCAGTCCCTCTGGCCAGTCACTTGTTGCCTCATCCCTTATTTAGGACGTCTCTCAAGTTTGTTCTTTTTTTTTTTTCAGTGTTAGGGATCTAGCCCAGGGCCTCATGCATGCTAAGCACATGCAGTACCAGTGAGCTATACCCACAACCCCAGTTCCTTGCTTTTGAGTCCCAAATTGAGTCAGTTCACTTTAGCCAGCATATATCATCACTCTTTGGGTGTCATTCTGCCAGTTCAGTGGTATTGGAGCTGTCTCCTAATATGTCTTCCTGCCTCTAGTCTCCTGTCGCTCCAGCCAGTCCAGCACTCCGCAGCTCTCAAAACAGTATTTGTGCCTAATGTGGTACATACCTGTGATCCCAGCACTCTGGAGGCTGAGGCAGGAGTATCGAAAGTTTAAGGCCCTTCAGGGAGACCCTGTCTCAAAGCAATTACAACAACGACAACAGTGAAGCACCACTGTTCGTACCATAGCCCTCCCTGCTCAAAACACTCGAATCCCCCAAGCCCCATTGCTTAGGGCAGTGGTAGCAAACTGTGACACGCGTGCTGCAGTGGGCACTCAGAGCCCTCTCTGTCAGCACATAAGCCAAGTCACCCCAGCAACTGAGCATTGGATAACAGTTGCTTTTTCTAAACTAAAACCTCAGTGTTCAGGTTTCATTGCAAAGTTGGTACTTTGTGATAAACAAGTGGGTTTGGGGTTGCAGTTTGGACACTTGGTCTCTAAAAGGTTCTCCATCGCTGGCCTAGAAATAGGGCCCGTGCTCCCTTTGCTTTTCAGGGCTCTTTACAGCAGTGTGCTGGGTGGGAGATAACGGCGGGCACATGGGAGGTGTTCGGTAACTTGACAGTGAAGTAGATCTTTAACAACAAGGTGGGGGCTCTTCTCACTGCCCTTCACCATCTTAGTTTTAGAATTCCTTTGCTCTTCTTTTGGCATTAGGCCAGAACCTTTGCAGCACTTGAAGTTTCATGGCGCTGAATTTGGAGGCAGGAAGAGGCAGCCAGAGGTGATAAAATATGTTTCAGGAAACCCCAACTCAGAGTCTCCTAAATTCTGAGGCCTGCTGTGTAGGAGGCTCCACGGGGAAAGCATATTGCTTCTCAAGTCCCTTCCCCCCACAGGGAGGAGAAGAGCAGAGGAACCAACAGTGGGCAACTTACTGTTTGCTTTAATGGGAAAAAAAAGAAGCAGGGGGAAAAAAGGAAGGGGACGCGGAAGACGTGAATGTAGAACAAAGGCTGAGTGAAGTAGGTTCCGCATGAGACTCCGTTGTCTTCAGAGCACGCCCACCTGACTGAACGGCATATGGTCGTCTGTCAAGAATACTCCCCTGGGAGTGTGTGGGGTGGTATGTGTGAGGTAATGAACTTGCCAGATGGCAGTTACCAGCACTAGCTCTTGGGTGATCCACTGGCACGAATGGGAATGGGATCTCGAGCGGGATGAAGGAGCTGTGTGGGAGCCACTTCTGACAATGTCGGTGGCGGAGAGGCTCCTTCGGCATCATGGGTGGTCCCTTTCGGTGTGAAAGTGTGCCTGCCCTTCCTCTAGACCCAGTGCACCAGCAGGTCCAGCCAGGGTCAGAGCTGCCTACTGGTGCAGGCGCGGCTCCTGGCGCTAACCATGCCCTTTTGGATTGCTTTTGGCATCTTTCTTGTTGTGGGAAGCATGGTGCAGCTCCACCCAACAGAAATTCTGACTCCTTCCACAGTCCATTCTCCTGGAGCTCAGCCGTCTCCAGCCTCCTTCTCTTCCCTTCTCTTCCTTCTCCTCCGTTCTGCCACGACCGTTGGCAACTGGCACATTTCTGGTGTGCATGCCAGCCCTTTTTGTCCTTTCCCCTTGGCTACTTGGAAGCCTGCCCTGGTTTGAGGCTCTCCCTGTTTTGTAAAACCATTAACTCTGAAAAGCTTTGGGTCTTGTAGGCAAAGCAAAGGCCCTCTGCTTTCCAGGGCTGGGAGTGTCTTGGCTGGGAGTTCCCCTGTGGAGTCCAGGGAACCAGGGGAAACTAGGAGCAGCTCTTTAGTCACAGAGCTCCCCAAGTGTGTCGTGGCATGACGGGTCTCAGGGTAGCGTGACAGCTACTGTTGATCAAATGCTTAGTGCATGCTAGACACTACAGTGCATGTGTGAGATGTGTTATTCTATATGATCTGCCCACTAGCTACTACTTCCTGTTTTTAGGATGGGGAAACTTTGAAAAGTTAAGTAACTTGTCAGGGGTCACAAACCAGAAGTTGGCAGAGGTGGAACTCAAACTAAGGGGATCCTCCTGCCTCAGCCTCCAAAATTTGAGATTACAGGCATGTGCCACCATCCCCAGTGACGTGTTGGACTTCAACGTCTGTCCTCTTAACCTTTATGCTATTTCAGTCTTTGTAGATCCCCAAAATGTCCTAGAGAGAGGATTAATTGCTTTTGAGGAATATTTACTCAACACCTAGGCATGCATTAAGCTCATTACATATATTAACACATTTGAGACTCCAAGTCACCTCTAAGCTAGATCGTATTACCTTATGTGACAGATATTGAAGGAAATGGAGTTTTGGAGAAGTTACCTAGCTCATAAGTGATCAAGTATAAATTTAATCCAAGTCTGGAAACATGGGGTGTGAGTGATCACCTCCTTTGACCCTGCCCTCCCATCCGTGATATGCCTCCTCTGTAGTTTGCTGTCTAAAACTGCAAGGACATTCTCATTGAGTCTAGAGGATGCCTGTGCCCAAGAATCCATGACTTAACTTCCAAGCTGAAGGCAATTTTGCTTTGAAGCAGGGACTGACGGAAGGAGGAGATGACACAGTGGGCCTGGGTGAGGGTAAGGTTCGATGGAGAACTGAGACCCAGATTGCTTTTAAGCACATTTTCATTTTTTCCCCTCCCTCCCTTCCCAACTTAGGGTGAAGGTTGCCGAACTGTCCCTCTGGCTGGACACGTAGGGTTTGACAGCTTGCCTGACCAGCTGGTGAATAAGTCAGTGAGCCAGGGCTTCTGCTTCAACATCTTGTGCGTGGGTGAGTATTTCCATAGCAGGAAATTCTATTACAGAATATGGATCCTTGATAGCTGGATGTAGCTTTGCAGGTAATTAGGTTCAATAGTGTGTTGTTCTGATCAAACTGCAAGAGTTCCCTCGACCCTTTTGCAGAACACTGGGGATTGAACCCAGGGCTTTTACACTGAGTTACATCCCAGTCGCTTTTTTATTTTTATTTTGAAACAGGGTCTCACTAAAGATGTAAGTTGCCCAAGTTGGGCTTGAACTTCTGATCTTTCTGCCTCAGCCTCCCAGAATGCTGACGTTACAGCATGTGCCACCGTGGGAGCCACATCTTTGTACTTCCATTTGCTCCTAGTGGCACAGAAAGAGTTGGAGAATGTTAATGAAAGGGCTGAGTTAACCTCCCCCGAGCCACTCATTCTACCTTTCCAACTGTTTTTTACACGAGCCCTCTTGGTCCTTACTCTGCAAAGTGAACACAGCAAGTAGTGTCCATGCCCTCAGAGAATTCCTTGGAGACGCAGAAGCGTGGGGAAGACAAGGGATTTACCCGAGGCAGTACAGGAAAAGTAGCAGAGCCCTAAGGAGGGCCCTGACTCAGCTGACCCCTTGTCCCTCCCACTGCTCCTGTAAACGCTGCCAGCAGCACCTCTTGAGAACAGGAAAGCTTTTGGAAACTGTTGAACACTAGCCCAACGTGCAGGGCAGTAGTTCCTCAAGATTCTTTAAGGCTCCCACCTTAGACCTTAAAAATCCCAAATTTACAAACACAATCATAGCATATAATTTTCACCCCACAGTGTAGGAAAGCATACCTGCGTATTTTCAGCGACCTCCTTCTGAACCTTAATGCTTGTATAAGTGCCATAATAAAGTCAGCTTTCACACTGGCTGGAGCACTCAAGCACTTTTGCTAATGGCCTTTTCTTATTTTTGTATAGCATATAGGGGAGACTCACTCAAGTTATAGGTCTGAGCCACCACTGAATTGGATATTTTACCCTTTAATGTATTCAAAAGTTCTGTTGTCTCACAAAGGTCATTTTCTTGAGTTCCGTATTTTTTCTTTTCTATCCCTAGCCCTTTTTTTCTGGGTCATTTTCTATAAGAGAATCACTGCACTCTAAGGACAAATGGAAAACAACAAAGCCACTTCTAAATACGGATGCCAGACACTCAGCTAGGCTCACTCACTAGGTAAATGACTCATTCCCACGTATCAGCTTTGGAACCTATGAGATAAAAATATGTGCTTCACAGTATTACACATCAGGAGCTTTAGAGTCCAGATTGAGACTCTTAACTCCTTAAATGCTGAAAGTCGAAATCATGATTATGTTTAGGTGTTATTTAGGAGAGAGGTATGAACTGAATAGAAATCAGAGTGCTCGAAATCAAGAGCAAATGTTATCACATCCAATTTCAGTACTGCCGAATCCCCATTTTAGCTATCAAGATCTCTAATCTTTGGCTGATGGCCAACTTATTTCACATAATATTTGGTTACCAAAATATTTCAGCACAGATACCTCAATTCCCTTGGCATTCTTCCCAGAGTTCCATATGATCTGTGCTGAAATAGAGGAGATAAGAGGTCGAATGACAGAGCAACCTACACAACCTTTCGACCAATTGGGCAGGCTAGTAAAGCTTTGGGCGGGGGGAGGCTCTGTGAGTCAGAATGGCTCTCTGAGGGCAGAAGTGTGAGGAAATGTGACGTGTGAATCACAGGCTTTCCTGGGGTCCAGAGGAAGAAGCTGCCATGCTCAAGGCAAGGTAAGTGCCCTCTACTTCTCACCGAGACGTTGTACAGCTGCAACGGCTTCAGCACACACCTGCCGCTGGCATAGAATAGCTCAAGAGCCTGGGACAGTCAACCCAAGAGGGGAGGGATAGGAAGGAGACCTTCCCACCCCCAAGGAGCCACACGTGGCCACCTTGATGGCTTTCCTCTTAGATTTGTGGGTGCAGCCACTGGATGTATCAACTGGTACCTGGTTCATTTCATTCCCTATCTCTGATCCAAAAAAGCCCACAACTCGTGCATCTTGCTATGCTCATAACCCTGTCATTGCTCAGAGCACTTGTAATTTGGACCAAGGTCATGAGCAGCTGAGGGTGGCTCTGAGGCTGCAGTCTCAGCTTGGCCACAGTGCGGGATCCTATCACTGACTTGGCAAAGAATCCCTAGCTTAACTGCAGAAGGTTATCTTTCTCCTGCAGGACTTTCAGGGACTGTGTTTTCATGGCTATTGCCTGGGTATGATTGTCAGGTTTACTTTCTTAATGGCTGTTTAAAATGACTCTGTTTTCTCATAGAATATGTTCCCCCCCAATACTTTTTTTTCTTTTCTGATAGGCATTTTCAGTGTAAAATGATAGTAGTGCTAGCTTTAATTATGAACTGAAACCTAGGATATTTTTTCACATTATTGTTTACCTTGCTATGGGGCTACTGATTATAGGCCCACACCCATCAGAGTAAGTATCCTACATACATGTGTGCCTATGTGTGTACATGTGTGGATGTTGGGATTGAGGAAGAGGTAGAGAATGTTATAAATCTAGAGTCTAATTTGTATGTAAAGGCCCCAGGGGATGGCACCTTTAAACTAGGCACATGGACCTCAGTGTATCATGACTCCTCTCTAAGAAATTCCTTCCAGTTGATAATAATTACTGAGTGGGATGAGATTCCCCTCTCCTTAATCAGAAGTCATACTCTAGTCCGTTCACTTCGGAAATTTTGAGGATCCATGATTGTAGATAAAGCGTAGGAGGCCTCAGAGGAGCCACCCAAGCCAGCAGTACAAATGTTCTTGGGCCTGTTGCTTTGCATTGTTGGGCGAGAGGCCCGAAGAGACTTAGCCATCCATATGTGCCAGCGACAGTAACGGCTGCAAGGAGCACAAAGGGTCATAATGATAATATTTATTTTGAAGCTGCTCTGAATTCCAGGCTCAACTGGGCTTTGTTGAACTTGGACAAAGACACACGCAAGCAGGATTGAGGCTTACTGCAGGAGGAAAAAGGGCAGTGAGCATTCTGTCAAGGTCAGGGCCCAATCGTTTCACCTCTCTGTTTCTGGAAAGTGCAGCTAGCTGCTTACCTATCTAAGGCAGGTTACCAGCAGTGGTCAAAGTCTAATAAACCATCATAGGGGGAAACTTCCCACGGTTTGTAGCAGCCACTGATTTCTGTGGTGTCATTACCCCCACCATAGCTGATTTTAAGCTACCAACATGACATTGCACATAGCTTTGGGAAGAAATACAGGAAGCTGTCTGAGCTGGCTCCAGTACACCACAGTCTGCCAGGCCTCTGCAAGATCAGGAAGGAGAAAGGGCAAGGTCACATAGCCAGGCAGGACCTTGTGCCTGTCCCTAGGTTCCCTTGGCCAACTGGAGTTCCTGGAGCATTTCCTTTTAGACACCTCCCTATTGAACTCAGAAACATTTCTCTTGATTTATTCTAGTATTTAGAGCTGCAAGAGTATTTAGCTCTATGAGAACAGGGATTGTGGCTGTCTTGTTCATTGCCTTACCCTCAGCTCTTATAACTGCCTGGCTCCTATTAGAAGTTTTGGAAATACTTGTAGGATAACTAAATAAGTGAACATGTTATGCCTATGGCCCTTGCTATTGCATACTGATTAAAAACATGGGCGTGGTAACATATGCCTGTAATCCCAACACTCAGGAGGCTGAGGCAGGAGGATCACCTCGAGCTTGAGGCCAGCCTGGGCCACATAAACAAGTTCAAAACCAGCCTGAACTACATGGTGAGACCCTGTTTCAAAACAAAGCAAAGCAAAACAAAACAGGCTCCAACATGGGTGTGGTGATCCACCTATAATCCCAGCTACTTGGGAGGCTGAGGCAGGGGGATCACAAGTTTGAGGCCAGGCTAGACAATTTAGCAAGACCTTGTTTCAAAACAACAAATGAAAAAAGCATAAAGGATTGTGGTGTAGATCAGTGGCAGGTTGCCCTTGAGTTCCATCCGCAGTAACACACACACCATGGGTTTCAGAGTCAGCCTGCCTAGATGTAAATGCTGGATCTGCAACTTACTAGTCTGTGACCTTAGACTGTTACTTCCTGCACATTGTACAGATGAGGAAAATAAGGTAGAAAGAGGAAGAGTAACTGTGGAAATTCGCACAGCTAGTGGCTTTGGACCCAACTCTAATTTTTGGACAAAATGTAGTATCTTGGAGCTGGGAGTGTAGCTCAGTGATAGAGCACTTGCTTAGCATGCGTGAAACACTGAGTTCCATCCCCTGTGCTGCCAAAAAAGTAGGATCTACCACTGGCTTTTTGTGAGGAATAAATATGAAAATATATGGGGGGTGGTGGTGTAGTCCTGTGGTAGAGTGCTTGCCTTGCAAGTGTGAGGTCTTGGGTTCTATATCCAGCACCATAAAAAGAAAATATATATTTTTCCTTACAGTAATGCCTGGTATAAACTCACCATAAACAATAGCTATTGTTATCACTCCCACCTTTTATGGGAAAATAAACTGAGACCCAGAAAGGGACAAGGTTTCAGCTTTGGTCACATAGTAATTTAGTGATAACCTGGCTTGGAGTCTTCATTTCATAACTTGCAAGGATTCAACTGCACAATTTGCTAGAACATGCATGTATTAACAGTAAATAAGGAAAAGCGCTAAATTCTGGTTTAGTACATTGTGTTATTTATTTATTTTTTTTTTGAGACAGGGTCTCGCTATGGAGTTCAGACTGGCCTTGAGCTCACTTTGTAGCCCAGGCTGGTCTCGAACTCGCAGTGATCCTCCTGCCTCAGCCTCCCAAATGCTGGGATTACAGGCATGCACCACCACACCTGGCTAGTACAGTGTATTTTTTAAACCAGAGCAGGGTCAATGTCAGACTGTTCCAGTGAATATAGTTTGAAATGGTATATTTTTTAAAACTATTGTTTCTAAGGTACTGTTTACATAAAACAAAGTGAGATGAAATGCCCTTGGATGGTGCAATATGATTAAAAAGGGGCAAGAAGCTGAGTATACTGGCGCCACACCTGTAATCCAGCACTCAGCAGGAGGAGGCAGGCGGAGCATGAGTTTGAGGTCAACTTGGGCTACATAGTAAGACCCTGTCTCCAACAAAACAAAACAAAACAAGACAAAACAAAAAAAAGTTTATAAAGGAAGAAGAAAGCCTGCTACCCACTATGAGATGCTCTGGGAGGGCTGGGGAGGAGAAGAGAGAAAGAGACCCCTGGGGATCTCTTAGGTTTCCCGCTGGAACCTAATTGCCAAGTCCCCACCTCCTGCAAGTGCGTGGGATCTGCTGACCTAACCCATTCAGCCATGTGTGCTGGGCCCAGGGTAGCCATGGGAGGGGACAGTGTCCTACGCCTAGGCTGGGTGTGTGACAGCTATTGAGAGAGAGCCTCCCCCTGCCCCCAGGCTCCCCACGGATGGTACCTGGGATGGGAGCACTCCATAGCCAGAGGAAGAGCTGGCTTGATTTTTCTGCCTTCTTCTAATACTGCATGTATTGTGATTCCCTGGACACTCATAAGTTCTTTTCTTCCAGACCTTCAGTATTTGCCATCTAATTTCCAAGCCCTTCTGTGCTGATGAGCATCTGGGTGGTCATTTTCCCTGCTGGCCTGCCCTGCCCTGCCCAGTCCCCATTTCTCCAGCTGTGCAAACAGGGTGGGTCCTTCCCTTTGCAGTGTGCTCCCAAGGCCTATGCAAAGCTGGTGCTGGGCGCTTTGGAGTGCAGGGCGATTCTCAGAGAAGTCTTAGGACAGGGAGCTAGCCAAGCTGCTCCTTTCCCAGAGCTGCAGGGCATTGAGCAAGGAGCTTAGGAAAAGAGGGGTGGGTGTGCAGACTCTGGAAAATCTGTCAGGCATACACAAAGGAGTTTAAACCTCAGTGCCTCTAGTATTCCCGCCTCAGAGTGCTGGCCCCATTTGCAGTTGAGTTGTACCCTTACCGTGGGTGGGGTGGGAATATATTCAGCTGCTTGCCTGAGTCCACCACCCCCTGTTGCAAAGACCCAAGAGCCTTTTTCTGGGGTCTTTGCTGCTAATAGGTATAGCAGACCCTGCCTGGAAATATGATCTGACTGAGGAACCATTTCTACATACCCTGGCAATCCACGATGTTAGACCTGGCTATGAAATAGGGCTAGGAGATCCAGTAGCCAGGTGGAATTGAATGTTTTTGTTCTTTCTCTCTCTCTGTCACTGTCTCTGGGTGACTCTGTCTCTTCCTTCTCTACACATAGAAAGCTCTCATCATAGTTTTAAAAGCACCTCTTTCATTCATAGCTCATTATTCAGGATAAAAAAGGCTCTGAAGATGTAAAGCTAGACAAGCCCAGAGGTAGAGCAATTTTGGTTTCCAGTCTCGCAGCTCTAGCCCAAGCTCTGGACTGCCTTGCAAGGAAGTACTGTTGGTCCCAAGGGGAGATTTACCAGACGGGATTTGTCCACGTAAACCTACTCGGACTGGGAAGAGAAGTCAAAGCTCACATCCCTGGGATTGGACAAGTGGGTGGGTAAAAGACAGACAATACTAGCAAAATAATAGGGTAGTCTTATGCATTCAAAAAGCAGCCCCAGATCATTAACTAATGATTTTTATTTCTGCTGTTCCTGAATCACTTGAGGTATGGGGGGATGGTACAAATACAGTCTATTTATGGAGACTGTAAGTGGTCTTAGTGCCTAGCCCAGCTTGTGGCTTCATATCAGATTCCTGCCTAGCTGCTGTGTCACCGACTTCCCTCTAATTCATGAATTCTTGTGATGTTTCATTCCCTAAAGACCCCTTAGCTCCAGGCAATGGCTTGTTATTCCCTGGTCTCCCAGGAACAATATCCCCAAACCTTCACCAGTCCTCCACCGCCCTCTCCCATCCACTTTTCTAGCTTGACATTCAAGACTTTTGAAATTCCAACAGTTTAATTTATTAGTGTCCTGCAGCCTGTGAGTTAAACAAACAGTTTGTTTAAAATGTAAAGAGAATAGCAATTTGCAGCCTGTTAAATTGCCTCCCCATTACTAAAAAATGGTCTCACTGGAAGTTCAGTCAGGCTGAGAGAAGCCTAGGGCCTATCTAGTCTCCCTCCTGATATACACATCTGGGATATGTAGGCCCACGCAGGCTCCCCATTGGGAGACACAGCCAGGATAGCTATTGAGTGCTGCTTGGGCCTGGCAGGGGGAGGGGGAACTGGGATGGGAGGATATCTGTTTGAGAAGGCATTAGTGTCTCTTTCTAAAATTTTAAAATAGCCCTACAAGTTTTATAACAAAGGCTCTATATCTTTTTTTAAAAAGCCATACGTGTTCTACATACTTAGAAAACTTGGACAACACAGAAAAGAATTGAAACCCATGTATAACCCTACCACTCAGTGCTCATTGTTAAGAGTATTTTATTTCCTTCTAGTTTTTTTCCAGGCACAATTATACCTCTTCATCACTGCCTATAACATAATTTATTTTTCTGACTATAAAAGCAATGCATACTCAAGGTGGAATTTTCAAATAACAGGATAAATTTGAAGAGTAAAATGAAAATGATTCCAGTTCCACTATTGTGAGATGACTATGCTTATATGTTATTGGGTTCCCTTTTGATGTTTTTCATTTAAGTGAGAGCACATTATCTGTGCTGTGCTTTTCACTTAGTATTGTATTCCATACCTTTCCCTGTATCGGTAGGTACACATCTGAAGTATGACGTGTGGTAGCTGCATGGTCACCGTGTGAACGGACCCTAATTTATCCTTTTGCTTTTCAGGCGAGACGGGTTTGGGCAAGTCCACCCTCATGGATACCCTGTTCAACACCAAGTTCGAAGGGGAGCCAGCCACCCACACACAGCCGGGTGTCCAGCTCCGATCCAATACCTATGACCTGCAAGAGAGCAACGTGGGGCTGAAGCTCACGATTGTTAGCACGGTGGGCTTTGGGGACCAGATCAACAAGGAGGACAGGTAAAGAAGGCAGTGGAGTGGGAAGACTGGAGGGTCACAGAGAGGAGTTTTCTGGAGGTCTCAGAGGAAGTACAGATGCTGGGGTCCAGAGTGACCCCCCAGAATGGTATAGGCAGGCAGCAGGTCCCTCACAAGCACCATCCCTGCCCAGGGTCTCTGTTTATAGCAACTATCCTATTTAATCCACTTTGCCAAAAGAAGGGTGTTTTTCCAGTATCCGTGGGTGGGGTCTCAGTTCCACTCAGCAAACACTTCTGGAGCTCCTGTCTTGTGCCAGGAACTGCGAGGCTCTGACAGTCTAGTCTCTGCCCTTAGTCTCTGCCCTTGAGGCACTCATGTGCAACAGCCGTTTTAAGCAAATAATTTCCATAGAGAGTGGTATGTTCTGTGAAGGGCAGAGCGTGAGGAGGTAAAGGACAGTTACAATGAGACCACAAATATGAAAACAGTTCCAAGTGGGAAGGTCGGGGAAGCTGTGACCAAGCACATGCCCCCTGAGCTGACTCTTAAAGGACAACTACCTGTGCCGACAGATGAAGGACAGGAGAGAAGGGCACTGCAGGCAGAGGTGACTGCTGGAATGGTGTAGTGGAAAGTGGTGTGGTGGAATCTGCCCTTTTTTTGCTATTCCGAGGCAGTTACTCAGAAGCTGGTGAAACGTAAGGCTGTCACATGCATAGGTTCCTTCCAAGACATAAGTTTGTATTATTTATCTTGGAGGACCCTTTGGACCCTCCTAGACTCCATAAAACCTGGATCTGCCTCTGGGCCAGTGACTGGAATGAGCTAGGGAAAAAGTCAGGGGACGTGAGCCCAAAGAAATAGGAGCCAGATCCTGGAGTGATACATTGAGTATCCAGATATAAAGCCACTGAAAGGTTTTAAGAAAGACAGTGGTGTGGTCTGATTGTCCTTTGAATAAAGTCCTGTGGTGTGGCATAAAAATACACTAGAAAAGCAAGAAGACCAATGAAGAGACTATCGGACCAATTAGATTGAGGCAAGAGGTAAAGTAGCTGCTGAGATTGGGAAGAGGAGAGAGAACTGATAACTATTAAGTAGGTAAAATCAATAGGTTTTAATATAAACTGGATGTGTAGTTGTGAAGGCAAAAGAATAATCTAGAACGAGGTCTGAATTTCTGACTTTGGAGAGTGGACAAATGGTAGTGGCCTCCCATGAGTTAAGAACTCTATTTTAAGATAATAATCTCTGCTTTGGACATGTTGCAGTTGCGCTGTCTCTAGAATATTAAGAGCCATGATGGCCTTCAGGAGTAGGCAGCTAAGTAGACAGATTGGAGGTCTGAAAAGGGTCTGGATGAGAAAAGTAACTTTGGGTTATCAAGGTAGAGATATATTCCAGTGGGCACAGGTAAAATTATCTAGGAATCAGCATAGAGTGGACTGAAGACAAAAACTGTGGTATGTGAAGTCAGCAGATTGAGGCTAATATCCTGAAAGGGACTGAGTAGGAGAGATGAGAGAGACCGGCAGTTTGAGAACGTGTGAGTGAGGGGTGCAGTGAAGCTGAGAGATGAGGATGTGGTGAGGGCTGGGATCCAGGGGGTGGTGCAGGTCAGGCACTCTCTGCATTTAACTTGAAGTCACGTGGGTACCACACATGCCCATCTCAGAAAGGACCATTCTTCATTTTGAGCAGGGTCTGCTCGTCCCCTGAGGAGACTCTTGCTTCTTGGATGGACTGTGTCTCTAATTCTATTTCTCCCTTAAAGCTACAACAGTCGTACTCCCATCTTTACAATGAATAAATAGATGTAGCTTCTTAATAATGAATTGAATTGTTTTCCATTTGAAATTCTAGAAGAAAGACACCTCTGTTTTTATATAGGCTTGTTTATTGTGCTAATCTTATTTGGTTGAGAATGAATTAGGCCCAGGGAAAGGGCTAGTTCGGCCACAATCTGAGCGCTTAATCTCAGCTGCAGATTTTGCAGGAACTCCTCAATTAGATTTTGTACAGTTCTTTTAGTCACATACATTCAACATATTTAACAATGGGCAACGCCTTAATAATTATGGTTTAGGAATGAACAGATACTGCCCCTAGAGGCTAATCTATTTCCATTATGTTTTTTAAAAATATTTGTCCCTGATTATAAACATGATACTTACTCATAACATATAAAATAACAAACGAAAGTAAATGGGAATGAGAAGCATCCCTGAAACTAGATTGGCCAGCAGGGGCGTTACAAGCTGCAGGGATCTGTAATAGAAAGCCGTGGTTTCTACGTGCTACCAGGGCTACTTAAGCACACACAGAGCCGTGCAGCTGCACTGAGACAGGGCATCAGAATGCCCTGCTTTATCCAGGGCACGTGCTTAAGCTGGGACGAGCAGCAACTCACACTGGACCTTGTAGAAAGCTACCACTTAAAGAATGCTGGGGAAAATGGAACCCAAGTGGGAGACTCTGAAAAACAGTCTGGAGAGGGAAGTACCTAGGGACTTAGGCTTTGGTCTCAGACAGACTTGGGTTCAAATCTCACCTTGCCATTTAGTAGCCCAGGAACCTTAGGGGAGATATTTAACTATTCTGTGCCTCAGTTTTCAAATTACCTGGAAAATGAGGACAGTGATGATAATAGTCCTTACTGTAGAGGGCTGTGGTGAAGCATACTTGATATATATGGCATAGGAAATGCTTAAAAATGCCTTGCACAGAGTAAGTACCTAAGAAACAGAAGGTATTGTTATAAGCATAGACTTTATGGATAGAAGAATCAAAATAGAGTTGTATCATCTAGTATATGGGAAGAACTGATACATGGTATCCAGGAAAATAAGAACCAAAAAATAGACATTGAGTTTGGTAACATGAAGTTCATTAATAGATGTAGGAATAATTCCAGGGGAATTGTGGGTAGAGCCTAGATTTCCATAATTGCTGAGTGAATGAAAGCCAAGGATGTAAAAGCATTAGCATCTCAAAAAGCACTAGGACAATAAAGTGAGTCTATCAGATTCATGTTTACATGGAAATGTAGTGTATGTAAGTCAGCAGGAAAAGAATGAACTAATTAAGAAATGATGCTGGGAAAATAGGCCATCCATTTAGGAAAAAAGTAAAATGAGACCCTCTCACACAAATACCACTCCCAAAAATAAATTCCTGTTGGACTAAAAACAAATTCTAAAAATATAAGGAGGAAATGTTGGAGAATATTTTTATAACTTTGGGAGTAGAGAAGGCTTTTCTAATCATGAACCAAAATCCAAGTTAACAGAAGAATAGAGTAACATATTTAAATTCATTAAAATAAAAATACTCATATATTGAAAGATGTCATAAACAAAAGTAAACATAAGCTACAGATGGGGCAAAAATATTTGCAATCTATGTAACAGACAAAGGATTTTTCTAAAATGTATAAAGAGCCTCTGTAATTCATTGAGAAATAAACAGATAATTGACAAAAGGGATATACAATGACCAATCAACATATGAAATAATGCTCAATTTCCTCAGTGATTAAGGGAAATGCAAAATGAAACAGTGTAATACTTTCTGTCCATCATATTTGCCAGAATAAAAGATGGCATAATACCCACTAACACAAGGTAATTTCATTCATGTTGGTGGGAGTGTAAATTGATACAGAATGTTTCAGGAGGGCAAATTTGGCAGCATCTCTTAAAATTTTAAATGTGAATAATTCATGACCCAGCAGTTCCATTTTAAAATATACCGCCTAGAGAAACAATTGCACATGTTCATGAGAAGCATACAAAAAAAGTGTTTATTGCAGCATTGGTTATTGAATAAAAAAACAATGTGAATTTCCATCAATTAACAGTGAAATGAACTGTGATACAACCATGCCATGGAATTACATTTAGCAGATTAAAAGAATGAGGTAGATTCATATGTGCTCATCTGGATAGAGCACCAAATTGTGTTGTTATGTGAAGAAAAGAAGTTGCAGAATGACACACAGACCATGGTGCCATTTGTGTAAATCTATCCCCTTCGCCCTTTAAAACAACAAACACTTCTCTCTACTTCCATATGTAAATACATAGAGAAGATGGGGAATGATAATCAACAGAGTGGAAACAGTGAATACCTCTGAGGCGGGGAAAATATGTACATGTATTGTTTACATAATTAAAAATAGATGTAAAACAATGAAGTTTTAGAAATGGAAGCTGATAAAGTGGGTATAGGCTGCTCGTGTAGAAAGCTTGTCTGGCTGGGCAAAAGAGATAAGGCAGTGTAGAGAGGGAGACAAGGAGATTGAGGCAATTCTTAAGAATAAGGAGAGGTGATGAGGGTTTAAACAAGAGTAGAAGTTTCCAGAAGAGATGAGAAGAACCAGATTTGAGAAAAAGGATCAATAAGACTTAGTAACCAAGTTGGTGTGGGGGACCTAGTTCAGCTTATCCACTACTAAATGTTTACTCTGTGCCTAGTACAGTGTGAGGTGCCACAGATACTAGGAAATAAGGCATAGTCTTTAGTTAAGGAGTTCATGGTTTAGTGAAAGGGCCAAATATGTATACAGATTCTGCAGAATGTGATAAGTATGGTAACAGAGGGCTGTGGAGAGGAACTGTGGGAATACAAAGGGCAGCAGTTGGCCAAGCCTGCTGGTAACAGAATAGGGTAGAGGTGGCTGAAAGCAGGAGGCTAGGAAAAGCTGTGCTAGGTCTTAAAGTCTTGCAGGATAAATACAAGTTGGCCAACTGGTATGTAGTAGAAATTCAGTACATATTTGTGGAAAAGAAATAAACAAACATTGGTGGAAAATAAAGATAATACCTGTAAGTTTTTATCATTCAATACTAAAAATATTTATTAGATATGTTAACTAGTATGCTGATGTGGGTGGAAAACAGTCTATAATGTATTGGAGAGAATGAAAACATTTTGAAAAATTGAGTAGGTTATTCTTTCAAGAAATACCTATCTATCTATTAAGTATTTACTGGGCACCTATGATACACCAGATCCCATAGTAGGCCCTGAAGACAAAC